GGTTAAAAGAACCGGTTAATTGAGGGCTGTAAGATGAAGAGAGATTTCATCTTGTCTTTGGATAAAAATCCCCGAAAGCCTACGTGTGAGTAGAAAGAGCGCCAAACAGCAACCTGGATACACTAAGTGCTCAACAGGTATCAGCCGCTATTATAAACATGTTCACGAATAAATAGGTCTGGACTGAGAAGGTCTGCCGAAGAGGAGGTTATCTGTGGATACGCTTTGCTGATTTCTTGTTCAGGACACAGAATAATCTGCCCATGCTTGGAAAAAGCTAAGTGCACTCTGACCTGTCTTTGCATTTACATCATTTTATTTGCAATTGCATCACTTTTTTGCAATCATACGCCTTCTTTTCTAAATCTTTTTTCTACTGTTTAGCATCTCGGTCCTGTGAACTATACAGCACACGTGCGTTCTGTCCTACCGGAAGTTGCCTGAGTCGCTTTTCATTCACAGCGCCCCCTGCAGGAGCAATTGTGAAACAGCGAGTGGAGGGAAGGGGCCACTGGCTCCTCTGTGACTTTAGGTAAGTTTATCCCCCGGGCCGGGTCTCAGACTTCATTTTCTCAATTAATACTCTGTTTTAAGCAGTGGTTAGGGAAGCAGGGGACAGAACGCAAGGGAACTGAGACAGCCTGACTAGCACCCCCTTCTCTCTAGGACTAATGCCTTTGAGATAGCATTGACCCCTTCTGGGGGTGAAATCACTCTTCACCTTTCACTAGGTCCCACCTCCCAAAAGTTTTACCACCTTAGCAATGGGGACAGAGATCCCGGCACACGAACCTTTGAAGGACACATTTAAAGCACTCCAGACCACAGCGGTCATCTCGAAGGCCCTGCCGCCCTTGAGAATCTGTCAGGTTGTGAGCATTTTGCCAGGGCAAAATGACAGATGAGTGGATAAAGAAGTTGTGTATGCGTACATAGTGGAATAGCATTCAGCCATGAAAAGGAGGGAATTCTATCATTTGTGAAAATATGGGTGGGGCTAGAGGACATGTTAAGTGAAAGAGCCAGGCACAGAAAGAGAAGTAACACATGATCTCACTCATGGGAGGAACCTAAAAATGCTATTTTCATAGAAGTAGCGAATCCAGTGGTGGTTATCAGTCCAGGGAGGGGAGGAGGAGATTGGGAGACATTAATCCATGGCTGCACGAGACAACGGGAAGAAGTTCTGATGTTTGATTATACAGCAGGGCGACTGTTGCAGTTTGCATCTGGATGTCCCCCGAAAACCTCATGCAGTCTTACGCTTTTTCGGAGGTGGCTGGATCTAGATTGTGTGATGCTGGGCTTAAGGGTGTGTGATTGCTAAATCAGTCCACTGATTGATTTGCACAGGCCTAGTCTCAGGGGTCTAGATATTATGTATAAGGGACAGAAAGAGTCTTGTCGGTGCTCCTGGTTGCTTTGCTACCTTCTGCCCACCATGACTGTTCTCCTCTGCCATCCACCCTGCTTTGGGGCCAGCCAATTACAGACTGAAACATCTACAGACTGTGAGCTAAATAAACCTTCCCTCCCTTAACTTGTGGGTGTTGGGTACTTCGTCTCAGCAGTGAGAGAAAAGTAACTAAGACAGCAACCATAGTTCACAGTCATGTAACATATATTTCAAAATAGTTAGGCCGGGTGTGGTGGCATACTCCTGGCATCCCAGAACTCAGGAGGCTGAGGCTGGAGGATTGCTGTGAGTTGGAGGCCAGCCTGGACTACAAAGTGAGTTCAAGGCCAGCCTGAACTGCATAGGGAGACCCTGTCTCAAAAACAAAAAAGAAATAGAAGAGGGAATTTCAAATGGCTTCACCACAAAGAAATGATGAGTGTTTGAGGTGACAGATGTGCAGATTGTCTTAGCTGGATCATATCATGCTGTGGACATGCACTGAAGTAGCAGTTGTACCCATAGGTGGGTACAGTTATCATGTACCAAAAATAAATACATTAACAGGCCATCGGGGAGGTGCTCTTAGTGCAGTGGTGTGGGTGTGTATGTGGTAGGACAGCCAGGGGTGGAGGGGAAGTGGGCGGAGTAGAAGTGGGTTTAGAGCAGTCAAAGGTGAGATGCCACATGAGCAGTTGCTCAAGTCTGAAGTGCAGGGGAGGAGCCGGGGGACGTGCATTTGGGAGTCATGATTAGGACAGATGTGATCTTCTGACATACTCAGTGTTTACTGAACACTTAGTAGGGGCCAGGCACTCTTCTGATTTTTAGGTTTTTTAGTACTGGGGATTTAAACCCGGGTCTTCACACTGAGCAACATCTCTTTTTAATTTTTTACTTTGAGAGACAGGGTCTTGGTAAGTTCCTAACTTGCCCAGACTGGACTTGAACTTGAAATCTTCCCACCTCAGCCTCCCACAGCGCTGGGGTTACAGGTGTGCTCCACCATGTCTGGCTTCTTCTGAGTATTTGAGAGGTGTGATATATTTCGTTCTAGGTGGTCAGGCAGTTCTGCTTCCCCAGTGATAGTTCAAGGGGAGGCAGGAAGTTGAGTGACGTGCTCAACAACACACATAGAAGCAGAAACGCTTGAGCAGGCCGGTTTCAGAGAGAGCTTCGTACTAATGTCGAGGGTTCTTAATATTACACCTCAACCACACGCGCAGTTATGAAGTAGTTAAGTGCAGTTGTGTCCTTGGTGGTGGTACCAGTGGAGTAACCACTGCATACTGGGGCAGTGCCTGTATTCTAACCCTCAGCCAACCATTGAAGGGAACCAAGGAAGACAGGAAGACTTGGCAGGAGTCAGATCTGAACCCAGTACTTGATGCTTTTGCTACCCTCAAGGTCTCCAAGGTGAAGGTAGGAAAGGCAGGAAAGGGGTATGTGCAGAAGGGGAAGAGGGTGCTTACTTCCAGGGCAGAATGGACAGCAGTTTTAGTTATTTTTCTCTCGTTGCTGGGACAAAATACCCAACACCCAAAGTTAAAGGAGGAAAGGTTTATTTAGCCCACAGTGTGTGAAGGTTTCAGTCCATACTTGGCTGGCTCCAGGTAGGGTGGCACATGGCGGAGGGCAATGGTTCATGGAGGTGGAAGGCAGCAAAAGCAACAAGAGCAGACGTGGGAAGAGCAAGCCTCTTTTCCTTCGTTATACTGTATGCAGGCTACCCGCCCTAGAGCAGGTGTAGCCCTCACACATCTCCTCTTGTGCAGGCTTCAGGATGTTTACAAAGTGAGGACCCTGGCCCCCTGCTGAGCCACTTAGTTAAGCTTCTAGACTTCTCCAGTTGACACAAAGTGTCAGTGGTTACAGGGGGTACACTTACCAGGGACCTGACTTTAGGGACCACATTGATGTAATCCAGGATGGTGCTGCTCCGCGAGAACTTGGGTCCTGGGGTTTCTGCCTGGGAGTGTGTGGTCCTCCGTACCTTCACGCTGCGGGAAGGAACCACACATTGGCGTGCACTGTTGAACTTGTCCTCTCCCAGCCCCGACCCAGACCCCGGACCCGAGACCCCAGACCCTGTGCTGCTTCTTCCAACTCACAGGATGAGGACGAGGCAGAGGGAAAGGAGTGCCGTGCTGCCGATTCCCAGGAGCACTCCCCTGGAGAAGCTGGTGGCGGTGGGTGTCTTATCTACACAGGATGGTGGTGGACCATTTCCCCAAAGTGTCTAGCGCCAGCCCCACGCTATCTGCAGCCACTTCCTAGCTCACTCTAGGAACCGCAGCCACAACCTGGGCGGGTGCCACACTCCTTCCTTTGCTGTGCCGCAAACCCAAGGACAGGCCCTGCACACCCCAGCTCCTGCTCCAACCCCAGGACAGTGTCGCCTGCCCGCTCGGCCCTCCTCCACAGCAGAGCCTTGGCCCCCAGAGCCCAGACCTGGCAGCAGCAGGACAGCAGCGCCCTGGACCCCGTGCACATTCTGTGCCTCGCAGTGGAGCCTGAGGCCGGAACGCAGCCCCCCGCGGAGGCTCAGGGAGCTGTTGGCCCAGGGCCCGGCCGAGCTGGAGGTGACCGTGAAGGAGGCGTTGCTGCT